GCTTCACTGAAAACATCCAGCAYAGGACAAAGATTTTTTCACTGAATGACACCAAGTAGGTAGAATTTTTAGTGTSGTTTTTAGTAACTCATTTTCCTCTTGCCTTTTCAGACTACGGCACTATTAAGAAAGTACTTGCCCCAATGAACCAGACTTCAAGCAGCTGCCTGCTTGAGGAAATTGAACTCCTGCCGAAAAGTCAGCGAGAGCCCATCAGGAGCCTTCAGATCTTGCACAGCCAGAGTGTCCTTTTTGTGGGCCTTCAGGAACATGTGATTAAGGTGCCCCTGAAGAGATGTCTCTTTTACAAAACATACAGGTACGAAGAATCAGTTTGCTTTATTTGATTGGAGAAAAATACAGGCAGGGGGTTGCAGAAAATTGGGAAGGATAAATGGCTGCAAGTAGGAATCCAAATTAATTGTCTCTCTCAGCAGAGAKTTCCTGCATACACTGTTTATCAGAAGTGTCTCTGACTACTTGTATTAACTTGTTAGGAGTAGATGAGGCTCTTAAGGAATTACATTCATATTGAAGTCTCATTATGCAGGTACTGAATTKTGAAGTGAAACAGTAAGAAATGTTTTATATAAAAAACAGTTATCTGGTAAAGTGCAGTATAGCTGCTGGATTAATATATGTAAGGCTTTGGACTTGGATAAATATAATGGCACTTTTTTGGTTTTTTAAAGCTGTATTATAACAGTGTAAACAGCATCTCTGGATTCAGAAAGAAAATTGTGTTGGATGAACTGAGACTTAAGAGTACTTGGAAAAGTGGCTATTTAAAGGTGGTGTTGGATCAGCAAACTGTAAKAAATGTAAATATCCTACTCTGTAAAAGGGCTGTGCAGCTGACAGTTGTYCAGTCAAAGAAAGAGGATAACTTACTAATTATCACATAGTTGTAGACTGTGTTATGATAGTTAAGGAATTTAAAGTTCAGCACACAACCTTTTCAATAGGCTAYCTGAAAATACATCTGGGTTGCAAAACATGCTAATAGACGTTGTTAATTTCGTTTAGTTAGTTGTATCTTCCCTTTGATATGTGTGGTCCTGGTAATTGAGTACAATTGTTTTGTGTTATGTCAGATAGACACTGAACTGGTGTCATGAGGTTTTGAGAACTGTGACAGAGGCATGTGGTTGTTTTTTAGCTTTAGCTTCATCTTGTTTAACATACATTCCTTTGAAAAGCTGGACTATTGCAGGAGAGACAAGGGCTGCCAGTTGCCTTTCTTGGCTCCTACATTCAGGCTCACAGAGACTTATTTATGCACAGAGATACTGTACCTCCCATAAAAGGCAGTGACCATTTGGAGGTAGAGACATTTCTGGCTGTCAGAGTGACCACACAGTCGGTCACAGCAGGGAAGTGGCCACAGGATGCAAATGTAGTAGAGCTGTGGCTTGGTGACAGTGGAAGGATGTTTTTCCAAGGGCCCTGGCTCACCATGTGGACTGGTACCATGCAGGAAGCCAGTGAAGGGCTGCTGGGTTGAGAAAAAGACTGAAGGAAAAGTTGTGCCCTAGAAAACAAGTAGATCAGGAAATGGAAGAATTCTGCTTTTTGCAGTTCTTTACCAGCCCTTTTTTTGTCTATGCTGTCTTATGTAGAATATTAAGACATTTTCTTTTGAAATAGAAGAACACTTGAAGCCCCATTGGAAATCCTGCAAAGCTTATTTTAGGGGAAAGTTATATAAGGGCTAGTCTCTGCATCAAGTTTTATTTTTTTTGGTTTAGCAGCCTACACAGGACCAAGTTTCAGTTTCCTTGGAAGTTTCACCTCTCCTTGGTTCAGTGAGTTGGAAAAGGGTTGTGGTGGTGAGTATTTACACCACTCCTGCAGTCCACTTTCAGCATTTCAAGGCTGGAGCCTCATTTTGTTTTTAGTGAGGTGTGAATGCCCAAGGTCCCTGGCACCTCTGCTTCTGTCAGGACAATTCCCAAGGCATGGCAGTGTTATTCCAGSTACAGGACCCAAATATGCTTATCTGCCCGCAGGGTAGGACTGTTGTTTCAAGTCCCAGACCCCATGCATGGCTGCAGGCTCTTCAATCCTCTCTCTCTTTGAGCAGTGGGCTCTAATTGTCTAATTTAAAAAAAAAATCCTTTTGGAACAAAAGAGAACAAAACAGTAGTGTCGTTCCCATTTTACTGAGTAGAACAGTAGTTAAATGCCTCAAATCCCACTCAAATGATAACTTAYTCCTCTGCCCAGAGGTATATGAAGTCTCATCTTCCAGTGGAATGACTTATTTAAAAGGAGATAAAATGACTCCTTGTGGGGTTTTTCAGTCATATCTTTTGTAGTTGAATGACTTCTTTTGTAGTAATTAAATACTCATTGCACCAAAAGACTTGCCATCCTTGCTTTCTTCTTGGTTAAAGAGTTCACCAACAATTCTGGCTCTGTTTTGTGCTAAAGGAGAGGATTTACAGATGTGATCCTGACGAAAAAAAAGGAATTTGCTTTCATCTGTCATTAGGGACTCAGGTTATTTGGAGAATGCAGATGCAATCTTTCTCTCACCTA